TTAAAAAAACAATTTTGCTTTCTAAGAAAAATAAATTTTAATTGTATTTTTGTTGCCCTACAAATGTCACTTAGTCTTGAAATATTTAATTTTATACTTATATAAAGTTTATTTTTAAGTAAATAATATTTACGTATTACAATTAAATGATATACAGATAACAATTATAATATTATACAAATAATTATAAAATAAAATATACACAAAAATATAATCTTAATTGAATATAGATATTTTACAGAGACAGAAATATATTAATTATTAAATTAAAAAGTGGTTTTAAATGAAAATAACTAAAAAATTTATTGGTTTTAATTATTAACTAAATATATTTATAACATTCCAAAAGATTACTTGAAACACAAATAACCATTCTTTAACTTTTAAAGAAGTAAATTTTTTACTTAAAATATAATAAGACTATATTAATTGTATTTTCATAATATTTTATCAAACATAAGAATTTTACAAGGCATCTCAATTAATATATTATTAAAAATAAATTCCTCGACACGATAATATTATATTAACTAAAAAACGAGTCTTAATTGCATAACTGACTTTTGGGTCACGTGACACCTCTTTACCTCTATAAAATTAAATTTTGAAAATTTGACTCTCGTTCTAACGTAAAAGTAAGTATATATTATGTCAAAATTAATTAAAAAAAAATTTTAATTTCTATTATCTTTTTTTTATTAATTTCATCAAAATGGTATATTTTTCTTTTCTCTTTCCAAATTGTTATATATATATATATATAAATTTATGATTTAGTACTAATATAAATCAAGGCAATTAATGTAGATATCTTTCCATTTAGCAAATTGAGCAAAAAAGCCAATTTAATTAAAATTAAAACCAAAATTGAAGGTGGTAGGTGAAAATTGCATCCCCCTCCCCCCCCAATGTTCAAGTTTTTCCCACCATTATTACTTCATGAGGTAAGCTTGTAAAGTTTGTAACGTTGTAGAAATATAAGTGAAACGTAAAAGTTGACCAAAAATCTATTGTGAAGTTACAAAAATACCCTCCAACCCATATAATATAAGTGTTGATATATTCATATCTAACTCATTTGCAAGTTCAAAACACAAAGCTTCAATGGAGAGATCTGCGGGCGGAGTCAGCAGAAATGGTGAGCACGGAAAACCCAACAAGAAGTCTAAAGCTAAAGGTGGATGGAATGCTGCCATTTTCATCATCTGTAAGCTTTTCCCTTGATAGTAAACATGGATCTTTTAATTTATATACATGTAATCTGTATAGTTACTACACAATGATTTGATTGTTTTTCGAACTTATTTTTGTTGTGTGAACGTAGTTGTGGAGACAACTTTGAGATTTGCTTTCTATGGGTTGGCCGGTAATCTCATCGTCTACCTCACAACTGAACTTGGCCAAGGAGTTGCAGAGGCTGCCAAAAACGTAAATACATGGGTCGGCATCTCGTTTCTCTTCCCGATTTTCGGAGCTTTGGTTGCTGACTCTTTCATGGGTCGATTCAAAACCATCATACTGTCCTGCGTTATATATTTAGTTGTAAGATCTTTCTAACTATTTAATCTTTCATTTGATGTGTATTAATACATCATACGTATGTAAGTACGAGTATTAAACATACAATGAGCTAACAGGTATTTTGTTATGACAAACATTATAGGGGACTATTTTATTGACATTATCTGTGTCGATAGTTCCTACCCATTATCGAGAACCAGTGTTTTTTACGGGGCTTTACATCCTAGCAATCGGTGAAGGAGCGCATTTGCCATGCGTACAAACTTTTGCAGCAGACCAATTCGATGAAAGTAGCTTAGAGGAGAAGAAAGCTAAGAGCTCTTTTTTTAACTGGTGGTTCTTAGGGATAGTCTTTGGTGCATCGGCAGCAATCTTGATCGTAATTTATGTCGAGGTATAAAATTATTTACTCATCGTTACAATTATTTTTTACTTACACCGTGATAATTTTGTTCATTGTTTATTGAATCACTACTTAATTCTTAATCTTAAAACCCATATTAGTCTTAACATACATAATTACGACTTAAATGTAAGAACAAGGGTAAACTAAGAGCAAAAAATTGAATGAACAGTTGGTTGTGAATTCAATGAGAAATACAAAATGCATGTCAATACTTTTATTAGTTTGTGTTTAAAGATTAAGTAACATTTAACAACTTACTACACTTCAATATGATGGGACTTAATATAGATATATATATATATATTCTCATAGATATGAAACATATTATACATGTGTGTAGGATCGTGTGGGTTGGACAGCAGGATTCAGTATAACATCAGTTGCGATAGCTCTTTCATTAGGAGTTTTTTTGGTTGGAATAAATCGATATCGAGAGCAAATTCCGGTAGGCAGCCCAATTACTAAGATGGTCCAAGTATTTGTCGCAGCTGCACGAAAATGGCGTATCAAAGAGTCATATGGTGTTTACGATAAAAATGAAGGATTCGCAACTCTACTATCTACAGATCAATTCAGGTACTTTCTATTGATTAAATACGTAGTTATTTTAATAGAATTAGAATAAACTTAAAGATGAGAATATTAAAAATTAAATATTAAATATTTTGATATTTAACGAGTTGAAATTTGAAAAATTTTATAAAATAGACTTAAATATATATATATCGGTGACCCATGTCTTTTTTTATGAATATACATAGGTAAAAAGATATAATTTCAAAAAAATTTATATAAAATGATGTGATATATGCTTTCGTTATGTGATTATCATTATAATTTAAGAAGAGGATAAGCAAATGAATCCCATGAATGTTATTTCTCACCCAATATCAACTTAATACTTTTTGTTTGAACTTTATTTCTTCTTTCATTTACACGTAGAAATCTAAGAATATTTAATGGCGTGAAATATTATAAATTTTTATTATTTAATTTTATATTTAATTCGAAATTTTTTTTCATTGAATAGTTGATAATTCTTTTTTTTTTTTTATTATAGGAGATTATAAATTTAAATCGAACTGTTTATTACAATATATTTTTATCTCTAACTAAATGTATCTGTTATTTCAATGACAATTAGTTGAAATGTAAAAAAAAAGACATTACTTTCCTCTTATAACCAAAAAATAACTCTATTATTTTTATTGTTATCGGGATTATAGTTTCTTTAGGCGCTAATGCCCTTTCGTCATGGAATAATGTAGTACGTGACAAAGAAACAAGAAAAACCCATGAATAAAGTAAATTCTCATCATTTTAATTATGAATCATAGCTTAAAATTATTACATAATCATGTCTTACCACAAAATCCTTTATGATTAGTCATGGTGCATATTATTAATAGAAATATATATTTTTAAATCAATGATAAACGAGAATAAAATATTAAAAAATTTTGAATTCGATAAAGTTTCATAGTTGAATATATATATAATTCTTTAAATATTTATGAAATATGTACCTTTCAAGAGGATGGAGTCAAAAGCCATTAGGTAAAAATAGCACAATAGAAGTTTTGAGGTTAACGAGTACTTTTTAATTTCGTGGCAAATTTAGTATTAACACGCAAGTTCACTTAAAAATTGAATAACGGTTAAATGTTTTTACTTTGTTGGTACGAATCTAGGTTATTTGCATTGATTTGTTCTTAGTATACCATTTTCTTTAGAATGTTGGGGCATTATATTCATGAAAGTATATCACAATAAATATACATTTGTGCAACTAAAACCGAAAAAGTCATAGAGGAGATTATGCTGTTTCATTTAATTCCCTTTGACATTCATCAAATTTTCTTACTGATTGAACATTAAGTATAGGTATTTGAACAACGCAACGTTACTCGACGATGTTGATATTACAAGCACTTGCAGACGCAAATGGCGACTTTGCTCGGTAAACCAGGTCGAAGAAGTAAAGCTCGTGATACGACTTATACCAATTTGGTTGAGTTGCTTGATGTTCAGCGCTGCCATGGTTCAAATCCATACTTTTTTCACAAAGCAAGCAAGTACAATGACGAGATCTATTGGAGCTCACTTCATTCTTCCTCCTGCTTTTCTTCAAAGTCTTGTAGGACTTGCTATCTTTATCTCAGTTTCAGTTTACGATCTAGTTTTCGTCCCCTTCGCAAGAAAGATAACTGGACATCCATCAGGCATAACCGTGCTGCAAAGAATTGGAGTTGGTTTGTTCTTGTCAATACTTTGCATGGTTATATCTGCCCTCATAGAATCCAAAAGAATAAGCACAGCTAAATACTGTAACTTGATGGACACACCCAAAGTAGCAGTGCCAATAAGAGTGTGGTGGTTACTTCCTCAGCACGTAATTAGTGGGATTGCTGAAATGTTCACCATTGTTGGACTGCAAGAAATTTTCTATGATCAAATGCCAGAAGGAATGAGAAGCTTTGGGGCAGCAGCTTATATGAGTGTGATTGGAGTTGGAAGCTTCATTAATAACATTATCATATCAATTGTGCAGACAATCAGCTCGAAGCATGGTGATAAATGGCTTATCGATAACCTTAACCGAGCTCATCTTGACTATTTCTATTGGGTCATGGCAGGGTTGGGTACGTTGAATTTATGTATTTATATATGGATTTCGAGAGGCTTTGTCTACAAAAAAGTACATTTCAATAGTACAGAGGATGAGGAGATGGAGCTTTAATGGTGTCTTTGATACAAGAACATGAAATTAAAGAATGTATTATGTTATATAATCTTCACTGTTCAGTTGTAAAAATCTAATATACTTCAGAATTATACAAAGTTCTTGATCATAAATGCTTAAAGACCATGGATTTTTCTCAAGTAGTTCAATTTCTGATTTGCAGAAGGTCTCTATCTTCCATGACATATATCTATATATATATATAAGTATATATTTTCATTTCTTTTTTTTTGTTCTTTTTTTCTTTTCTCTTCAGCTGGCCTCGTGGTCACACCAGCTGCTCCCCTCGCTGTCCTTTGCTGGGCTCTCTCTTATTTTTTTTGTTTTGTTTTGTAGTGTGTGTGTATATATATATATATATGTATGTATATATTTATTTTATCACTACTATTATTTATTTGTTTATTATTATTATTATTATTATCATATTTTATTTTTTAAGATAAAATTTAAACTACGTAATGCAAATTTTAATTTTTATTCTTAAATTTTTTCGTTTAAGTTAATTTAATTATTTACGATTTAATAATTGAATAAAAATAATTACTTTTTAGAGTTAAAATTTTGAACTCCCCAAAACGACGCCGTCTTTAGAATTTTAAAGCTAAGTTGGTATCATGCACCGTCTAAAAAAAATATAAAATAAAAAATCAATATCAGTTTTTAAACTCCTCAAAACGACGCCGTCTCTGGAAGTTTAAAGCTAAGTTGGTATCATGCACCGTCTAAAAAAAATATAAAATAAAAAATCAATATCAGTTTTTAAACTCCTCAAAACGACGCCGTTTCTGGAAGTTTTAAGCTAAGTTGGTATCATGCACCGTCTAAAAAAAATATAAAATAAAAAATCAATATCAGTTTTTAAACTCCTCAAAACGACGCCGTCTCTGGAAGTTTTAAGCTAAGTTGGTATCATGCACCGTTCTAAAAAATATAAAATAAAAATTCAATATCAGTTTATTAGAGAAGATTCTTAGCAAGCAAGTAGACAAGGAAATTACTAGTTGATTTCTAAAAGTGAAATTATCTGCTTTATCTTTTCCAAAAGGAAGACTTGGCATTGACATACAATCATTATAAGCTCATTTCGTACCCTCCCGCTCCTGCCATTGTAGAAGTTGCTCACTCAGATCACACTTATCCTTCTGAAAAATTTCTTGCTTTCTCTAGAACCATGTCTTCTTCTTCTTCAGAGCACAAAGATGACAAGTTCTCAACTTCTGGTCTTGTTTTTTTTTTTTTTTTTTTTTCCTTTTTTAATCTTCTTATTTGCTGTTTCTGCAAATCCCAGTTATCTTCTCAATTTCTTGTTGTTGTTTTAAACTTTTCAGGAATGATCAAATACCTAAGAGACCATCCTCCTTCTCACTACTTGTTCAAAGTAAAGCCCTTTTCCTCGGTGCTCAAGTCACCGTTGGAAAAGCATGAATCTGGTGTTTTTGAAGCTGGGGGCAACAAATGGTGAGAATCCTTTTTCACTATATGCATATATTTGTATGTATGTAGCTATTTATGGATAAATTTATGAGGCTACAGTAAATTGTTACTAGGAAGTTGGTTGTGTACCCAAATGGAAGCAACAAAGCTAATGAGAAAGAACATATTTCACTCTACTTAGCAATACAAGAAACAGAGGGTTTACCTGATGGTTGGGAGGTAAATGTTGACCTTAAACTGTTCATCTTTGATCATTTGGAAAACAAGTACTTGACAGTCCAAGGTAATTTCTTTTTCTTTTTCTTTTTCTGGGTTCAATCAAATTGAAAAACTTTTTCTGTAAATAATGAAAAATGTTGGTTCTTCATCTTATTTTATGAGCCCATCTGTGTTTTTAGATGCTAATGGGAGGGTTAAGACTTTCCATGAGTTGAAGACTGAATTGGGTTTTGAGAAATTTCTGCCTCTCAAAACTTTGAATGATAGAGATAATGGATACCTTGCTGATGACTGTTGTATATTTGGGGCTGAGGTGTTTATTATTCAACCCACTGGGAAATCCGAACGTCTTTCCATGATTCAAGAATCGAATGGAGGTTCTTTCTCTCCAAAGCTCGAGAAATTTTCGAACTTCGGAGATGATTGCGGTTACGGTAGCTCTAGCTCTAGCTCAATTGGACGAAGAAATGGGTAATGAACTCTTAAAAGTACACTCCATTTAGTACAATTAAGTATCTTAGTAAACTTTGGAATTGCTTTTGATTTCAGGATAATGAGAGTTCATGTTCAGAAATTATCTGATCAGGAAAATGGTAGTTCATTATCTATGTCCCAGAGGCTAAAGAGTGTCTTATCATCTGTTTTCCGAAGGCAATCCGATGGTAGCAGCCTTCCATCTGATGATGAAAAAGAAGTCGTGGAAGACAAGCTGCCAGAGGTGGATCAATACCATGGTATACACCTAGAAAAATACACTTAATTTAACACAATATCATCTATAAGGTGCTTAGGAGATTAGGCATGATTTGATCTTACCTTGAATACCCAGTTGAAGTGTGTTTTTTGGGTCTTCTAATTCTCCAAGCAATGATTTAAGGTATCTCAAGAACAACAAGAGATCTTCCACCAGCCCACTACTTGTTTGAAATAAAGTCATTCTCGTCTCTGCCCAAGCAAGATGCAGAGAAACATGAATCCAATCCTTTCGAAGTCGGGGGATTGAAATGGTACCTGTCTTACGAAAACTTTTTCTTTCCACGAAAATCTTCTGAGCAACACTAGTTTTAGAATCCAGCATTCTAATAATTTTATTTCAATATGATGTTATATAGGAGATTGAGTCTTTACCCAAATGGATGCAAGGAAAGAAATGGAAGTGGGCATATTTCCCTTTACTTGAGAATTTTGGAGACAAACACTTTCCCTCCTGATTGGGAGGTTTATGTTAACCACAGACTCTTTGTGTTTGATCAGAAGAGAGACAATTACCTAACAGTTCAAGGTTATACAGACATATATGAATATATATGTACTTGTCACTCACATTCTGCATTTAAGTACATCATGTTTATCTTCATAAACTTGTTTTAATGGGCATAGATGCTGATGGGGTGGTGAGGCGCTTTCATGATAAGAAGACCGAGTGGGGCTTCGATCAGTTAGTATCTCTTGATACTTTCAACGATACTTCGAATGGATTTTTGGTTAATGATTACTGCGTATTTGGAGCAGAGATCTTTGTAATTAGGCATACATGTAGAAAGGATTCTGCTTCAATGGTGAAAAATCCTGCTAACTACAATACATATACTTGGAAGATTGACAAACTTTCTGGGTCCGAAGAATCTTATCAGTCCGAAATCTTCACAATTGGCGGACGAAAATGGTAATATATTTGTTAATTTTTTTTTTGGTTGGTGAATTACAAATGAGTTAGAATAATGATGTGAAACATTATGTGCAGGGTGTTAGAGGTCTATCCAAAGGGATATGGAACAGCCAAAGACAAATGGCTCTCCCTCTACATGTATTTAAGTGATGGTACATCTCTTCCTCTAAAGCAGGAATGGAATATAGAATTTAAGTTTCGGCTCCGAGATCAAGTTAACAACAGCCATCTTGAACGTACATGTAAGTCTAAAACTCCCTTTTCTTTTCAATCCGTTTTTTCTCTCATGAAGCTAGCAGGTCGAGTTTTAGTGAAAATAAAATTCTAATTCTAAACATTTTTTTAGTAAAAATTCATATATTTTATGGGTCAAGTAATCTATGCACACCAAATCATAACACAATCTATTAATGAGAATATACGGAACCATAATCCAATTCAAACCCACAACTCTATCGAAGGAGAAGAGCATCGGTTCCAAAGAAATAGACGAACATCTATTTAGTTGAAAGAATCTCTGACTAATTTCAAAGAAATTGATGTTGAAGACAAATATAGTTTTAGCACTTTTGATGTGGTAATGCCTTTGATCACATGCAGCTAAATGGTGCTTCAAATATCCTTTCGCAAATGGTCGAGGATTCGGAGATTTTATTTTATTGACAGATCTTCGTGATGCATCCAAAGGTTACCTCAAAAGCGATACAATAATTATTGAAGTCATATTTACTCTTATAACTGTTCGTGATATTTTATTGGAAGTATAATCTTTAGCTAGAATCTTATCTTAATTTTTCATCTTTTAAGTATGAAATTAAAAATAATGACTTTGCCAACTAAAGTCTTTCCATTTCCAAGACAAACTTTTGTGATGTACGAACAATTAGTAGTGTTTGCTGTGGTAGAAAGCATCCATGCGATGAACTTCTCATTGATCTGCAGGTAAGACTGAGATTTCCTGCAGAGTTCACTCTGAGAATTCTTTTAGCCATAGCATGGAAACTACCGATTAAAATAGGATCTTGAATAAATTCAGAATCGAATGTGTTCTTCTATGAAAATCGTTATAATATCAACTCCATCGATAATAACATAATCAAAAGTAACCAAGAGCCTTATACACCCATTAGCGGAGCAAACTTTATACATAGCAATTCTTGCAGACGGGGGAGGTGTTCCGTCTGTAAGAATTGCTGCGTATAAATTTTGCTCCGATTATGGGTGTGGTTCGGAGGCTCTTTTGGCTGTTTTTGATGATGCTATTGCTGATGAAGTTGATATCATAACAATTTCGATAGGAGCATCCGGCTCCGAATTTACCCAAAATCCTTTGCAGTTGGTAATTTCCATGTTATGGCTAAACAAATTTTCACAGTGAACTCTGCAGAAAGTTCTGGTTTCGCTAGTGGATCGGTGGAAAGTGTATCGTCATAGATGCTTTTCGATACAGCAAGTACTACTAATCGTTCCTATATTACAAAAGTTGTTTTTGGGAATGGAAATACCTTAGTCGACAAAGCTATTATTTTTAATTCCATACTAAGTATGTAGAAATCATGTATGGTTAATTTCTAGATATATATATATTTATGTATAAGCATAGTAATGTAATGTTATAAATATATGGATTTCTAATGAAAGTAAAATATAAATGTTTTTGTAAATGCACCATCCCAAGCCTTTGAGTGTCCGTGGAATGTTATCTCTTTTGTAAAGTATATATATATATATATATGGAAATTGTGAAATAAAAATAAAATTAAAAATGCTTGTGAAAAAAATAAAAGAAATTTAAATATGAAAAAATAATAATTTCCATGGAGTAAATATTAATTTATATTACTTTCACAAAAAAAATTCAAATA